TTAACAAAATGAAAACACAAGCCATAATCTGGAAAAAATATTTGCAAATGACATATTTGACAGAGGATCTTTACACAGAATATAGAAAGAATTGTCAAAATTCAACAACTAACAATGATGAAAATAAATTATAAAAAAAAAACTCAATATTAAGACACAAATAACTCAATTTAAAAATGGGGAAAAGATTTAAACAGACACTTCACCAAAGAAGATACAAGGATTGCAAACAAGCCCATGAAAAGATTGTCAAAGTCATCAGTCATTGGGGAAATGCAAATTAAAACAACAATGAGAAACCACTACACACCATTAGAATGGCTACAATAAAATAAAACTGACAATACCAAATGATGAAAAGGATGCAGAGCAACTGGAATGCTCATATATTGCTGCTGAGAATGCAAAATGATATTTCCATTTTAGAAAACTATTTGGAAGTTTCTTAAAAACATGCACTTACCATAAATTCCAACTCATGGTGATCCCTTGTGTGTCAGATTAGAACTGTGCTCCAGAGGGTTTTCAGTGGCTAATTTTTCCAAAGTAGATCACCAGGACTTTCTTCTGCAGGACTTCTGGGTGGATACAAACCTCCAGCCTTTTGGTTAGCAGCCAAGCATGTTAACTGTTTGCATCAACCAGGACTCTGCACTTACTATGTTGTTGTTAGGGGCCGTCGAGTCAGTTCCAACTCATAGTGACCCTATGTACCACAGAACGAAACACTGCCTGGTCCTGTGCCATGTTCACAATCGTTGTTATGCCTGAGCCCATTGTTGCAGCCACTGTGTCAATCCATCTTGTTGAGGGTCTTCCTCTTTTTTGCTGACCCTCTATTTTACCAAGCATGCTGTCCTTCTCCAGGGACTGATCCCTTCTGACAACATGTCCAAAGTATGTAAGACTTAGTCTCTCCATCCTTGCTTCTAAGGAGCATTCTGGTTGTACTTCTTCAAGACAATAAATCTTGAAATTGTCTTATTATATAATATAAGCCAGTAATTCCACTCCTAGGTATTTATCCACAATAAATGAAAACTTACTTCAGACAAAAACAGGTGTAAATATGTTTAGAGCAGCTTTATGCATAATCATCAAAAACTGAAATCATCCTAGTGTTGTTCGATTGGTGAATGGATGAAAAAACTATGGTATATCCACCCAATGGAATGATACTCAGCAATAAGGAGGAGCAAACTATTGATATACACAACAACATGGATAAATTTCAAATACATTATACTAAGTGAAAGACCACCACGTGTCTGTCAGTTTGTCGTACTGTGGTGGCTTCTGTGTTATTGTGATACTGGAAGCTCTGTCACCTGTATTTCAAATACCAGCAGGGTCACCCTTGGTGGACAGGTTTCAGCTGAGCTTCCAGACCAAGACAGACTAGGAAGAAGGACGTGGCAGTCTACTTCTGAAAAAACTGGACATTGAAAACCTTATGAACAGCAGCAGAACATTGTCTGATATAGTGCCAGAAGGTGAGCCCCTCAGGTTGGAAGTCACTCAAAATACGACTAGGGAAGAGCTGTCTCCTCAAAGTAGAGTCAAGCTTAATGACAGGGATGGAGTAAAGCTTTCAGGACCTTCATTTGCTGATGTGGCACAACCCAAAATGAGAAGAAACAGCTGCAAACATCCGTTAATAATTGGAACGTGGAAAGAACGAAGTATGAAGCCAGGAAAATTAGAAGTTGTCAAAAATGAAATCGAACACATAAAGATCGGTATCCTAGGCATTAGTGAGCTGAAATGGAATGGTATCGGCCATTTTGAATCAGACAATCATATGGTCTACTATGCTGGGAATGACAAATTGAAGAGGAATGGTGTCACGTTCATTGTCAAAAAGACCATTTCAAGATCTATCCTGAAGTACAATGCTGTCAGTGATAGGATAATATCCCTATGCCTAGAAGGAAGACCAGTTAATACAACTATTCAAATTAATGCGCCAACCACTAATGCCAAAAATGAAGAAATTGAATATATTTACCAACTTCTGCAGTCTGAAATTGATCGAACATGCAATCAAGATGCATTGATAATTACTGGCGAATGAAATGTGAAAGTTGGAACAAAGAAGAAGGATTTGTAATTGGAAAATACGACCTTGGTGATAAAAACAATGCTGGAGATCACATGACAGAATTTTGCAAGACCAGCTACTTCTTCACTGCAACCTTTTTTCAACAACATAAATGAAGACTATACACGTGGACCGCAGAAGACAGAATAAACAGGAATCAAATCAACTACATCTGTAAAAAAGATGATGGCAAAGCTCAATATCATCAGTCAGAACAAGACTGGGGGCCGACTGTGGAACAGACTATCAGTTGCTCCTATGCAGCTTCAAGTTCAAGTTGAAGAAAATTAGAACAAGTTCACGAGATCCAAAGTACGACCTTTAGTATATCCCACCTGAATTTAGAGACCACCTCAAGAATAGATTTGACACACTGAACACTAATAAGCAAAGACCAGACGAGTTGTGGGATGATATCAACAACATCCTACATGAGGAAAACAAAAGGTCATTAAAAAGAGAGGAAAGAAATAAAACACCAAAGTGGACGTCAGAAGAGACTCTGAAACTTGCTCTTGAACATACAGCAGCTAAAGTGAATGGAAGAAATGATGAAGTAAAAGAGCTGAACAGAAGATTTCAAAGGGCAGTTCGAGAAGGCAAAGTAAAGTATTACAATGACATGTGCAAAGACCTGGAGTTAGAAAACCAAAAGCGAAGAACATGCTCGGCACGTCTCAAGCTGAAAGAACTGAAGAACAAATTCAAGGCTCAAGTTGCAATATTGAAGGATTCTAAGGGGAAAATATTAAATGATGCAGGAAGTATCAAAATAAGATGGAAGGAATACACAGAGTTACTGTACCAAAAAGAATTGGTTGACATTCAACCATTTCAGGAGGTAGAATATGATCAAGAACCAATGGTACTGAAGGAAGAAGTCCACGGTGCACTGAAGGTATTGGCAAAAAACAAGCCTCCAGGAACTGACAGAATACTAACTGAGATGTTTCAACAAACAGATGTAGCGCTGGAGGTGTTCACTCACCTATGCCAAGAAATTTGGAAGACAGCTACATGGCCAAAAGCCCGGAAGAGATCCATATTTGTACCCATTCCAAAGAAAGATGATCCAACAGAATGTGAAAATTATCAAACAATATCATTAGTATCACATACAAGTAAAATTATGCTGAAGATCATTCAAAAACAGTTGCAGCAGTACATTGACAAGGAACTGCCAGAAATTCAAGCTGGATTCAGAAGAGGACGTGGAACAAGGGATATCATTGCTGATGTCAGATGGATGTTGGCTGAAAGCAGAGAATACCAGAAAGATGTTTACTTGTATTTTATTGATTATGCAAAGCATTTGACTGTGTGGATCATAACAAATTATGGATAACATTGGGAAGAATGGGAATTCCAGAACACTTAACTGTGCTCATGTAAAACCTGTACATAGACCAAGAGGGAGTTGTTGAAACAGAATAAGGGGACACTGCATGGTTTAAAGTCAAGAAAGGTGTGCACCAGGGTTGTATCCTTTCACCACACTTATTCAATCTGTATGCTGAGCAAATAATCCAAGAAGCTGGACTATATGAAGAAGAACGAAGCATCAGGATTGGAGGAACACTCATAAACAACCTGTGATATGTAGATGACACAACTTTGCTTGCTGAAAGTGAAAAGGACTTGAAGCACTTACTGATGAAGATCAAAGACCGCAGCCTTCAGTATGGATTACACGTCAACAACGTAAAGAAAACAAAAATCTTCACAACTGGACCAATAAACAACATCATGATAAACAGAGAAAATATTGAAGTAGTCAAGGATTTCATTTTACTTGGATCCACAATCAAAGCCCATGGAAGCAGCAGTCAAGAAATCAAATGATGCATTGCATTGGGCAAATCTGCTACAAAAAACTTATTTAAAGTGTTAAAAAGCAAACATATCAGTTTAAGGACTAAGGTCCACCTGACCCAAACCATGGTGTTTTCAATTGCCTCATATGCATGTGAAAGCTGGACAATGAATAAGGAAGATGGAAGAAGAATTGATGCCTTTGAGTTATAGTGTTGGTGAAGAATATTGAATATACCATGGACTGCCAGTAGAACAAACAAATCTGTTTTGGAAGAAGTACAGCCAGAATGCTCATTAGAAGCAAGGATGGAGAGACTTCATCTCACTTACTTTGGACATGTTATCAGGAGGGACCAGTCCCTGGAGAAAAACATCATGCTTGGTAAAGTAGAGGGTCAACAAAAAAGAGGAAGACGCTCAACAGGATGTATTGACAGAGTGGCTGCAACAATGAGCTCAAACATAACAATTGTGAGGATGGCACACGACCAGGCAGTGTTTCGTTCTGTTGTGCACAGGGTCACTATGAGTAGAAACCAACCTGATGGCACCTAACAACAACAAGTCAAAGAAGCTAGATCAAAAGTCTATACACTGTGTAATTCCACATATATTACATTCTGGAAAAGGCAGAACTATGGAGACATAGACAGCTTGCCAAGCGTTAGGGGTGGGGAGAGGAGTTGACGTACAAAAGGACATGTGGAAATTTTGAGGGGTGGTGGACCTGTCTTGTATCTTGATTGTGGTGGTGGTTACATGACTATGCATCTCTCAAAACTCACAGAACTGTATATACAAAAACAGTGCATTATAATGTACATAAATTGAAAAATAAATTTAAAAAATTCAGCAGTCTGTTAAATTCTTAAATTTCATGTCTTTCTCCCTTTAATTGATGTACACATTTCTAAAACCTGAATGCAAATTGAACTCTTGTGAATTTAAATATTTAAAAATTCACCAAGGGAGCTTGCTTTTAAAAAGCATCTTAAAAATAAACAAAATAAAATTCCATTTACTACGTAAACTTGGTTAAGTGGATCTAATACTTGCTATCACGTGTGTAAATCAGCCTTTTGGATTTCATCATATGTTTAAAGTGAGGTGAATGTGCAACTTCGATAATTTTTCAGGATACTCTTTTTTTTCCCCACAGTTCTGTTCATGAGTAAGTTATTCTGATAGCATTTCCCATGCCAAGGTGGAAAAAAAAGAGCTGGAACACTCCTCCAGTACCTCCTCCGATACCTACACACCCAGTACCCGTCACCAGAGAAACTCAACGTTCTCTGGCTTAGTGAAAAGGGAAACTGGAGGACAGGGCTTGGGGAGCCCAGGTGTGCTGTGACCGTCCTTTGTTAAGTTGTGCTCAGAGCTGAAGGTCACTGGGGCCTGAGCCCCGTGGAGCCGGATCACTGCCACATCCCTCCACTCGCCCTGGCAGCCTCAGAAGGCCCTCATGTCAAGTGCAAACAGCAACACCAGGAGAAGAAGGAAGTTGCCTTTGTCTCATCTTGGTGCTTAGTGATGTATGTCAGTGATGACACCTGTTCAACAAACCAGGTAAACTTCACACTCCTTGTTCTTGGCTTCTTTCTCATCCTGTAGTTAGCTCAGGTGCTCCATTTGCTAGTTTGCATATCCTGGTCACATTTCCTCAGGCCTCACTTTCCCAAGCTGTGTTTCAGGTTCAGTAGTCTTTCAAAAAATCACAGACAGCTCTGCCTTTGCTCCTTCTGGGAAGGTGCTCCCCACTTGGTCTAGTAACTTCCTGAAAAAACAATGGATGTAAATCTCATTGTTTTCAATCACGAACTTATTAAATGCCTAAGGCAGTTCCCTAACTAAAGCAAGCCCAGTGGGCCTTCTATATAAACTGAACTTTCCTCTTGCAAAGGGGCTAATTCCATCCCCTACCCAAAACACACAGACACACAGACACACACGTACTTGCCAATTTCTCCAGCTACTAAATCCTTATTGCCGCACATGGTTTTTGGTCTGATGGGCATTCTGGTAGTCACTCTCCTTTTACAATTATCTATGCTTTAATGCAGTGACTCTGGGAGGCATAAGCTTGAACTCAATCGCTGGAAAACAAAACTACTTCTGGGAGCTCCAAGCTTCTGTGAAAAGTATTTCCTCTTCTTTCTGTACAATACACTTCAGCTCCATCCAGCACTCCTCACTGACACGATGCCTGCTTCACAAAAGGAGGAGGTGGTGCCAAACAGCAATTAACCTGAGGGGAGGATACACTTCGACTATGCATTTAGTAAATAAAAAGAGGCAGGTCGTACTATGAATGTTTTCTCCTAATACCAAAATACTACTAGAGTTTAGTTTCTTTAACCTGGGTTCCCACCATAACCAGAAAGGGTCAGTGAATAATGCTAAATTTGTAAAATAAAGTTAAGTACAAGTCAAATTTAAGCTGTTAGGTGCCTTATTACTAAGAACGCAAAGAGTATCCAGTAGCAAGAAAGAGCCCACAGATCCCTGGCCCAAACCATCCATCAGTCTCTGCCAGGTTCCCCCTAAGCTATCTGATTTCCCATCTGTTGAAGGAGAATGATAGGTCAGGAGGACCAATCCCCTACCAGACTCTGCCTCGTCCTGGCATGCAAAGCCATGGCTCTTTCCTGAAGGATTCCAGGACCATACCAGCCGTAGAAGCAGAGCTGTTTGAAGAACTTCATAGGTCTGAGGCTCTCTTGTTTTTGGAGTCTTCATCCCACATCAAATAAACGTTTTAAAATTTACCCACATCCCCCATTAAATATAATTTCTATATAGCTACATAAGAATTAGAAGCAGTTAATAACTGATATGTTTTACATTTAATTAAATGTTTCTTAATTTTGCTTTTACATTAGTATTTTCAGATTTTGAAACCAGTACCCACCCTGAGGCACCTCAGAAGACAGGCCTAGTGACCTGCTTCTGAAAGGTAACAGCCTTGAAGGCTCTATGGAACAGTTCTACTCTGCACACATGGGGTCACCATGAGTCAGAACCAACTCTATCAGGAACTAACAACAACAACCTTTCATTCTGGTTCCTGGGTGGCATTAATGGTTAAGTGCACTTCTACTATCTGGAAGATTGGCAATTTGAATCCACCCAGAAATGCCTCAGAAGAAAGGTCTGGCTATGTGTTTCTGTAAGGTCACGGCCATCAAAACCTATGGAGAACAGCTCTACTCTGCACACATGGGGTCACCATGAGTCGGAATTGACTCAAAGGCAACTGGTTTTTCTTTTCAGTTTCCAAACCTTCCCATTGCCCCATGTAATGCCGGTACACCTAAAGCACTGTGCCCATAGTGCTTAATGGATAAAACAGCCTTGTACATAGGAGATAGAAAGGGTGCCTCTGGATCTAATGCCTGGTGCATCCAGCTCAAGATGCTTTTGCCAATCATGGACCAAAATGTTTGAATAAAAAAGAAACAAACAGTTATAAAAACCCCTAGTCAGTTTCATTTATATTATTCACTTAATCTTCACAACAATTGTTTGAGTGCGAAATGATTGTTCACTTGGTACAAAGCGGGAAAATAAAGTACAAAATGTTTTAGTAACTTGTCCCAGGTCCCGTGGCTAGAGAGTGAGATTTTGAACCAAGTCTTGTGGTTCCAAAGTCCACAGTTTTCATCTGAGTCGTACCCCTGCAGGCACAGAGAGAAGTCATGACTATCATCGCTGACATTTAAAGTTAAATAAATATTGGCCAGTTTCAACGATTACTTAATGCCCTGTCCATTCACATAGTTCGGTTTATATCTTTTAGAAGCTATTCATTTTTTTTCTATATCTTTTAGTCCAAAATGACCTTGTTCAAGTTGTAAAAGTTACCTCCAACTTAAGTTTTGTTTTTTGTTATGTGTGTGTGTGCGTGCATTTTTTTTAGGGGGTGGATTTCAATCACCTTCTCTGCGCCTTCTCAGCCTTACCCACTGTGAGGAATTTCTCCTCTGTATGGCTAGCGCACTCACTGTCTGTAGAAATCATTTGGCACTTGGAACCTAGTGTCATTTTTCTGCTCCTGCTTATCTGGTCTCTTTCAAAGTCTGTGATCTATGATCCACTGGGTCAGGATTAGATCTTATGCTTCTTGCTATCTCCCTTAGCAGTGTGGCCTAGTGGTAAATGAGTCCTGGTTTCAAATTTCCCTCTGAAGATAACCTTAGGCAAGTTCCACGGCCTTAGGCAAGTCACCTAACTTCTCAGTCTCTTTATTTAAACAATAGAACTGCTTACTTCACAGGGTCATTATAAAGAGGAGAAAGCAATACAATGTATACGTGAGTGCTTTGCAATCTAGAAAGTACTATGCAAATATAAAGGATTATTAGCCTAAAGCATTGCTGACTGATGTTGGCAGGAGAAGCACGTTCCTGGGGTCTTTTGCCAAACTGAAAGAGTTCATGGACTGTAACAGTTTAACCACTACCGCACTGGGCTTCCCAAGATCACAGCATGTGAGTAAACCAATGGATCAGATACGATGCGACAGCCAGTTCAGAGGTCAGGGTTCTGGAGAATGAAGGAGAAATGTCAGGCAGTGCCAATTCTGTGAGCTGGCACCTTTTCTGGTCTCCTCAGGAAATGCGGCAGAAACTCAAACCCTGACTGGTACCATGTGATCACTGGACACCTAGAATATGCTGAGAGCTATTGCCAACAGTCAAACACACGCCATACCCTCAACGCTTACCTTAGGAAAACTCACAGGTGCAAACATAGATGCGGGTACATGGAGAAGGCACTTTGCCAACCCTTTTCTTAAAGCCCCCAATTGTCAGGGTGAGGAAATGTAGGATGGGCTACAGCACAATGAAAACTCCTGGAGGAAGCTGAGGCTGAGGAGAGACTGAGAGGAAAGGAGGCTGTAAGCTCAGGGTGAGGAGGCAGGAAGGAAAAAGTCAGATTCTTTGACCAGTAAACCTGGGCTTAACAATGCATTGGGAAAATACTTGCTATGGAAAAGAAATTCCCTCCACAACAAACAGAAGCAAATCTTCCACCTGTAATAGAATCCCAAGCAAAGAGAGACACCTGGGCACTCAAGACGCAGTACGACCAAGCCTCAACCTACCTCTTCAAATCTAAAATATATCTCCCTATCCTCTAGTCTAACATCTACTCCAGCCAAGCAGGCCTCTTTATTCTCTCAGATCTTTTCCAGAACCCTAAGCTTTGCTCACAATAGTCCACCTCTTCTGGAATGATCTTCCTTCATTCAATGTCAGTGTATCTGCCCTTGACAGAAGGAGTAATTCTGTCCTCCGGTACAAAGCCTATTCCACCCACCATAAAACCTTTTAATGGCCCACTCCTCTGAACTCATAGTTCATAATGCATGCATCATCTATGTGGTGCCACTTTGTCTTGTAGAGTGAGCTATTCTAGAAACATGAGTGAGCAAATGTGTGTTTTTAGTTTGAGTTCTCCAGAAAGCAGAGTGTGAGCCAAGGAACTGAGGACAGGTAGTACATTTAGAAGATGATGCCAGGAAGCAGAAGTAAGAGAAGGTACAATGTGAGACAGGGAAGGAAGAAAAGTCAATCAAAAGCTGGTTACCACCTTGAGCAACTGGGTCTCAATCCCATTGGGACCCTCTGAGGAACCCCATAGAACATACCTTGGAATTGTCCCAATTAAAGAGGGGAGGCTGCAGCAGATAGCCATGGATTCCTGCCCCCATTGTTTGGGGTTGCCCTTGAAGGATTTCACTCCTCCCCCCACTTACGGCTTCGTAGTTTGAGGTCACACCTGAACACAGCAGAGTGGTCTTCTTTAGCAGAAAGCTGAGTGGATTTGGTGCAATGCCCCATAAACCATCACAAGCATCTGCTACGGTATGTGTTTTCTTTTTGCAACTAGATTATAAGTTCCTTGAATGCAAAGGTCATAAAAGAAGAAAGAAAACATGATGCACATGGTTTCAATTGTAGACTAACATGATTTTAACTAAAATCAAACTATCTCGAAATAGTTTGCTCTTTTTTGTTTTAACTTGACAGCATTTAATCTGTTACCCCTATGCTGTCATTGAAAAATAAAGCCCTCATACCATTATATGGCAAAAAACATCACATAAGGAAATAATGTAAGAATAGCAATGTTCTTCCTTTGTTTATTGTGGTAGGCACTATATCTATTACTGTCTTTGGACTGTAATAATATATGGAAAGAGAAATAGGAGAACTCTTCTGTCTATAGGATTCTTTGCTGCCCCTCATTCTGCCTGTCCTTAAATAAGAAGGGTGACCCAGAGGGCCTGAACGACCTTGGGCAAGTCAAGATGATAAACTGTGCTTATGTCACAGCATTACTGGGAGCACTAAAAAAGCCAGTGTTTGAAAAGACGCGTTGTAAACTGTAAAAGGCTATTCAAATATCAGTCATTACTATAGCAAGTCTGGCTCAGAGGCTACCTCTACCCACACACAGCAAGCCCTGGTGTGCCTAGCCACACGGATTTCTTCCTTCTTGGGAAAATCTCAGCTTGTTCCCATACTGCCCTGTATTATTACTTATGCAGACACCATGGGTCTTTTATTGTGTCCCCCACGGACCACAGTGTCTTGTACTTTTGAGTTTTTATAGCCCATTCAGGAGTTCTCAACTGCTCCCTGGATAAAACACAGGCTCTGCACACAACATTCGCGGTCCTCCGTGGGTGGAGACCTGGTTGTGGCAGCACGGGCCTGACTACTCTTCTTCGCACACTCTCTGGCCCACTACACTCCTCTCTGTCCCTCCCTGCACGCGCTTCTGCTCCCACTTTCTCTCCAAGTTGCAACACCCTCCTCCACCTTGACTTTCTCCAACCAGCTGGCACCCATTGTTTTAGAGTCAGCTCTATCCAATTGTCCATGAAATCTCTTTTAGGCCCCTTCATTCATGCATTCCATGAGTATTTTTTTTGAGCACCTACTATGTGCCACTACTGTGCAAAGTATAGGGGGCACAATGATGAACCAATCAGACTTGATCTCTTCCCTCACGGATCTAGAGTTTTTACTCATAATGAGGTCTGGCACTTAAACAATTTGCCTTGTATTGTTTACCCTGATGACTATTTCATGCATGTGTGTTGTATATCTCTAGCTTGAAAGGTAGATTTTTTTTAAATTGTAATTTAGATGAAGGTTTACAAAACAAACTAGCTTCTCATTAAACAATTAGTACACATATTGTTTTGTGACATTGGTTGCTAACCCCATGACATGTCAACACTCTCCCCTTCTCGACCTTGGGTTCCCTATTACCAGCTTTCCTGTTCCCTCCTGCCTTCTCGTCCTTGCCCGTGGACTGGCGTGCCCATTCAGTTCGTTTTGTTTTATGGGCCTGTCTCATCTTTGGGAAGGGTGAACCTCAGGAGTGACTTCACTACTGAGCTAAAAGGTATCCAGGGGCCATATTCTCAGGATTTCTCTAGTCTCTGTCAGACCAGTAAGTCTGATCTTCTTTGTGTGTGTGAGTTAGAATTTTGTTCTGCATTTTTCTCCAGCTCTGTCCGGGACCCTCTATTGCGATCCCTGTCAGAGCAGTCAGTGGTGGTAGCCAGGCACCATCTAGTTGGGCTGGACTCTGTCTGGTGGAGGCTGTAGTACTTGTGGTCCATTAGTCATTTGGACTAATCTGAAAGTTAGATCTTTGAGTGAGGCTCGTTTGTACCTCCCATGAACAAGCAAAACAGTGTGGTGTATAATACACATATGTCAAAATAGTACATGCCTCTACTCTTGGCTATAAGACAAGAAATACATCAAAAATTCCTCAAACTATAGTAGCTATTCAACGCAATGATCAATTAAAAACATTTAAATTGCACAAGCATGCCTGGATACACATATGACTACCTAGATGCAAGAAGGTTGAGTTCAAGGTTCCTAGACAAGCTTAAGTGAATGTGATTTCCTTTAGAAATACTATCATTTAGGGAAAAAATAAAATCTGGTACAATAAGGGTCCAGGAACTGAGGCCAATATGGGTTTCTTGTGTATTAATGAAAATCAGATGCCACCTTGTGGCCAATAATCAAAAATCAGGGATTTAGCTAGGCAAAAGAATTGATTGCTCTGGAACTGAATGAAACATAAAATGTTACATTCCACAAGTAACGCATTCCATCCTGGTGTGGACAGTGTGTTCCCACATTAACCCTCAAAACACTTCTGTACTCCAGTCTATGACCTCCTTACAGTCATAATCCTTAATTCACATAGATATTACATTTACAAACCTCCTACAGTCCTCTTGCTCTAGTCCACAGGGCTGGTTGTCATCTCACTCAAAATCCAGTGTTGCTCAACCCGTGACAAACCCTCAAGGAAATTTCAATCCCTGAAGAGTAAAGATGACATTGCAGATATTTTCAAGGAACTTAGGTGAAACACAATTTCCTTTCATTAGCAAATAAAACATTCAGTGACAAGGGAATGGTTGCTTGGCTATAAAGTTGTCTATATGAAGTAATTTTTTAACCAATATTTTATATTTACATGTAATTGCCCACTTTTGGTAGTACTGAAAAGTTCAGAATTTCCATAAAACTAAAAGTTATTCAAGGAGCCCTGGTGGTGCAAAAGTCAAGCACTCGGCTGCTAACTAAAAGGTTGGTGGTTTGAACCCACCAAGCAGCTCTGTGGGAGAAAGAACAGGTGATGTGCTTCTGTATGGATTAACCCATTGCCATCGAGTTGATTGTGACTCATAGCGATCCTATAGAACAGAGTAGAACTGCCCCAAGGGCTTACAGCCAAGAAAACCCTATGGGGCAGCTCAAATCTGTCACATGGTGTCACTATGAGTTGGAATCGACAGCACCCAACAAAGGTTATTCAATAGAAAAGGTCAATATAAATATATTCGTGCTTTATTGCAGATAATATTTGTTATTGTTGTTGTTGTTAGGAGCTGTGGAGTCGGTTCTGACTCATGGTGACCCTATTGTACAACAGAATGAAACGCCGCCCAGTCCTGCGCCACCCTCACAATCGTTCCTATGTTTCAGCCCACTGTTGCAGCCTTTGTGTCAATCCATCTCATCCAGGGTCTTCCTCTTTTTCGCTGACCCTCTACCTTACCAAGCATGATATCCTTCTCCAGGGACTGGTCCCTCCTGATAACATGTCCAAAGTAGATGAGACAAAGTCTCACCATCCTCACTTCCAAGGAGCATTATCTATTTAGATGCTTAAAAACAAAAAAACAAAAAAAACCAGTTTAGACCTGGAGATTCTACAATAAACAATACCACAGAAAAACCATATGGTGTTTTCCTGTAGCAATGGGCTATCTGAAAATAAGGGCATTGCAGCTATCACATTCCCCAAGCTGGAAGAACTCAATATGTCTACTTCTTGCCAGGCATCGTGCTAGAGTTCAACAAGAGACAGACCAACAGTCCTCACTCACAGAGTCTGGATAGACATTAAAAACAAAATATGCATAAATAAATAAATAATTTAACTACAACTGCATAGAGAAGTAGCAATTACAAACACTATAGAGCTTAGGGGGCAGTGAGTTTATGTTAATGGGGGAGGAACAACTCGAAAAAGGAGGGTGAAAATGGTTGCACAACTTGAAGAATGTAATCAATGTCACTGAACTGTACATGTAGAAAGGGTTGAATTGGTCTATGTTCTGCTGTGTATATTCTCAACAACAACAAAATTAAAATAAATCATATAAAAAAATTCATCTCTCAATAGGAAAAAACAAACAGCATAGAGAAGGATGCAAAATATACTTACATTCATCACTTTCCTACACCAAGTTCATGGATTTTTGGGTTATATTTGTAGAGTAGTTTAGGAAGCAGGAAGTGAAAGTAAAGAAAAATGATAATGAACGATTAATTCTGGCAGGTAGGCCAGAAGACTTAGGAATATTTTCCTTCTAATCGCACATAAAAAGCATGTAAACATATTTTAATTATATGCTTACATAGAGACTAGGTCCCTGGGTGGCACAAATGGTTTGCACTCAGCTACCAATAAAAAAGTTGGTAGTTCCAATTTACCCAGTGGTACCACAGAAGAAAGGTATGACAATCTGCTTCCATAAAGATCACAGCCAAGAAACCTTATGGAGCTCAGTTTTACTCCGTAACACACGGGGTTGCCACAGGTCAGAATCAACTCGACAGCAACAGGTTTGTTTTTATATAGAGTCTGGAAAGATCTTGCATTATATTGACATAATCATTGGATATTCCAGCTAGAAGAGCTATTATAGGTCATTTGGCCCAATCTTTTCATTTTGTAGATGAGTAAACTGTAGAGCAGAAAGATTAAAAGATATGCCTAAGGTCTCCCAAAGTCACCCAACCAGTTAGTGCCCAGGCCTCTAGAATGCTGACCTATCCATTATGCACTCAATTGTTAAAATGGACCAGAGCAAATAAATTACTTTATTATACCAATAGACAAAATTATCTTTGTATTGGTATTCAGGAAAGGTAATTATCTGTTGTTCAAATTTGGCTTTTAGAAACTTGTTGATCTTAAAAACAAAAGAGGCCAAGGTGGAAATTCAAGACAGCATCAGTAAACAAGGATTTTGATCTACATCAAAATCAGCAGAAATAATCCCTTCAAATGTAAGCCTGATCAGGTATAGCATGGCAGAAAGAATCTAAGAACATTTGTCAAATGAAGGCTTTTGGCAAGCCTAGCTCAATGGAACACTGTAAGACTCAGCACTGCATGTTCTATTCTGTAAAGGAAGTTTTTCTACCACAATGAATAACGAGACTCAGGTTGGTGCACCCTTTTCCTCTAAAATACTCTTCTCTCCTGGCAGCTCTTCCCAGTATGATTGTCCTCTCAGTTCCATTAATCATGACCCTGTTAGTGGGTAATTTACCCAGATTTCACTCATCATGAGCTTGAGAAGGAGTCATACCCTACAATTTGCCCTCAGATCCTGGGCCCTGCCTAAAAACTGTGAACTGACCATACAGTTTTAATATCTTGGATATAAACTAAACCATGGATAAGACCAATGGAAGTGACAGAGAATAAGCAAGAACCAAAGAAAGCAGTTAGCACTTAAGTATTACCAGTTTCCAGGCAGATATATGTCCCACTTACTATGGAAATTGAAAATCTACGATTAGCATAAGTTAAAAGAATGTGAGTGAAGAGTCTCTTAAAGAAACCATTTCAACAGGAAACTGTGAAATTCTACAGTGTCATCTCATATCCAAGCCTTCACAGAAGTTCCCCTAAAATAATATTACCTCTAGGAGACAAGGCTGGAGAAATAAGTATGCTTGGAAGTATTCTCAATTTTTTTAAATGTACTGGAAAGTACAGATTTTAACTGGTATCTGGCTGGGAACCCCTGATGAAACATCCTTCCTTCCCACTAAAATACCAGTATATCCCAGTAACGGGATAGTCTATAAATCATTTAACTTCTTGATAGATATCTAGCTTGATTCCCCTTTTTCACTTTTAAGAACAAGCCTAGGATGTGCATTTTTGAGTGCTTGTTCATTTATCTCCTTAGGTAACTTGGAATATTATGTTAGATACTTTAGAAATGACGCTGGGAGGGAAAGCAGCTGAACTTGGTAAAGGGAATCAGAAAAGGCAAGAGAACGGGGAAAGGAGAGACAACATACAGATTGGGAGAGAATTTTTAGGAAACATACAGCTGATAAGGGCTTAATATAGAATAAAGAACTCCTATAACTTAATAACAATAACAAAAAAGACAAACAACTCACCAATCAAAATCTGGGCAAAGGATATGATTAGACAGTTCACCAAAGAGGATATACAAATGGCCAACAAGCACATGAAAAGATGCTCAACATCATCAGTCATTAAACCAAAACAAACAAAAAACAAAAACCTGTTGCCGTCTGAGTTGATTCCGACTCATAGCGACCCTGTAGGACAGAGTAAAACTGCCCTGTAGGGTTTCCAAGGCTGTAAATCTTTACTGAAGCAGACTGTCACATCTTTTTCCCGTGGAGTGGCTGATGGATTCAAACCACCAAACTTTTGGTTAGCAGCCAAATGTAACCACTGCGCCACCAGGGCTCCTTCATTAGTAATTAGGGAGATGCAAATCAAAAACACAATGACTGTCCTAGTCATCTAGTGCTGCTCCAACAGAAATACCACAAGTGGATGGCTTTACAAAGAGAAATTTATTCTCTCACAGTCCAGTAGGCTACAAGTCCAAATTCAGGGCATCAGCTCCAGGGGAACGCTTTCTCCATCGGCTCTGGAGGAAAGTCCAT